GAACATGCCACTGCACTCCAGCCTAGGTGACAGAGTGAGACTCTGACTCAAAAAAAAAAAAAAAAAAGATGCTAAGTTTAAAGATGGTTTGGCTTCTAGATTCTAAAAGTGTCCAAATATACTGGCCTGTCAAAAGCAGTCTAGGGAAAAAAAATAACTTTCTATTTCTCTAGATCTACAAGCACTTTTATTGTATGTTTTTATCTCAGTTTTAGGAAAGGAGAATGAAAGATCAAGCCTCCATTCTCAATCTGAAGACTTGCTGATTTTCCTGATAACTAAACCTATCCACCTGTTGTTGCAGCAACTCATTCAAAGAAGGCATAGGCGGCCAGTTGGTTGCAGTCACTTAGTAGCGGTCTAAATAAAGGAACATAGTTTGCAGCATGTAGCTGCAAAGCAACCACATAACTTTTTTAAAGCACACACAGTTTTTACCCACCTTCTAATTACATTATCTGCATTGAACGCAACAGATCCCTAATAAAAATGTGACCTTATGTGGGGTAGAAGAACATTATTTTCAATTGGGCATTGCTTTGGAAAATGTTTTTAGTCGCACCATGGTATTGAGTCCTTCTGCTACACTGACATGTATGGAGAAAATAATTTAGGCTTACTGTGATTATCAATTTCCTTTTATAAGCAAATCAAAATGGTAGTTAAATAACCGTTTAATAAAGTTATTAAATACCACAATTATTAAAAAGGCAAAGAATATACGGGACATTAAATAAGTTTTCTCCAAGCCAAAGTCATTGTTTTCACTGGAATTGCTGCTTCTATGTCAATTTGAGAGACTTCAATTTATTTATTAATTTAACAGACCCTCAGACTTTCACATGCAAAACACAATGTGAAGCAAGAGATACAAAAGTAAGACAACTGCTCTTGCAGAAGGTGGACAAACAAGTAAATAATTATAATACAATATTAACAAAGTACCGTGTTACAGCTGTGCTGAAACAGCTATTGGCTCACTGAAAAATAAAACATCAATTCACTATGATCATAAACCATTTAAAATTACCAGTAATGCCCAAGTCTCAGAAAAATCATCACAATTTTTAAGGTCAGTGCTAATGCCAAAACTAAATTTAAATAATAAAACTAATAATAAAAACTACCCAGGCCAAGCGTAGTGGATCATGCCCTTGGGTGGCAGAGGCCTCTGAGAGGCCAAGGCAGGAGGACGGCTGGAGCCCAGGAGTTCGAGACCAGCCTGGGCAACATAGTGAGACCTCATCTTTACAAAAATAAAAAAAACTAGCCAGGCATGAAGGCACATGCCTGTAGTCCCTTACTCGGGAAGCTGATGGAGGAGGATCACCTGAACCCAGAAGGCTGAGCCTGCGGTAAGCTGTCATCAGGTCAGTGCACTCCAGTTTGGGCAATAGAGTGAGACCCCCCAACTCAAAATAATAAATAAATAAATAGTATAAATTGAAACCAATAAATAAACATTTTATATTCCTAAGTTTAAGGCACTTTGACCCATGGCCCTCCAATACCTAAAACCCAAAATACCATCAAGTCACTGGTAACATCTTTATCAAATTTTTATACTACCAGGAAAAGAAATACCAATACTATCAAAATATATAAAAACAAGTTTAAAACCATACACTTAATTCAATAGTCAAATCTACCCTAAAATCACCCTGGGTGTATATATATTAGACATAAATACAAAGGGTACCAAAAAAGATGTATATATATTTTAAGAAATGAAAAAAACTGTAACAAAATTGTAATACTCTTTAAGAAGAACACAAGTCACATTTGACTTTCGCAATTACAAGAGGTGCCTAAAGTGGTTACCCTCAGTGTCAGACACTTCTGATTACTGTGAACATCTCTTAGCATCTCTCAAAACATATATACATATTTCGGTACTCCTAGTATATAATAACTAAAGAACATTTTATTTTTTTATTTTTTTTTTAATTGGAGTCTCATTCTGTCGCCCAGACTGGAGTGCAGTGGCCGCTCCCG